CCCGTTCCCCTGTACCCCGTCTACACTGCGCTGACGCTCACGTGCACGTCTTCCTCTGCCTGGGGCAGGAAGCCCAGGAGGCTGAAGCCTGCCAGGAGGAGCTGGCCATGAAGGTGGAGCAGCTCAAGGCAGAGCTTGTTGTCTTCAAGGGACTGATGAGCAACGTGAGTCCCTAAGCCCTCTCTGACCCCAGGGCAGTGTCCTGCCCGGGCAGTAACGCAGTTCCTCGGTGGGGCATGGCCAGCACAGACACGGGCTGGCAAGGCTGGTCCAGGGGGTGGTGATCAGAGTGGGGAGACAGATCCAGTCCTGCGGGAATGTGGGGGCTCTGACTGCTGCTTGATTTGCCTAATCTTCCTCTTTCCTGTGGCCCCGTGGGTTCAGAACATCACGGAGCTGGACACCAAGATCCAGGAGAAGGCCATGAAGGTGGACATGGACATCTGCCGGCGCATTGACATCACCGCCAAGCTGTGTGACGTGGCGCAGCAGCGGAACTGCGAGGACATGATCAAGATGTTTCAGGTGAGAAGGATCTGCCGCTGCTCCGGGCTCAGCCGCTGGCTCTGGGGAAGAATGTTCCCAAAGGAGATAGAGGAGACACCACCAGCCCCCTGCTAGGGGAGACGCTTGGTCACCCTCACCCTGCTCCTTGCAGTCCCTTGCTCTCAGTCTCTCTCGGGAGGACCAGGCAAGTGGGCACGGAGAGGAGGGGGAAAGCTCCAGATGTTGCTTTGGGCACTGAGAGTCCCCTCAAACCTCTCTCTGACCGGTTGTGTTGGGCCCGGGGAACCCACAGTGGTAGGGGAGCAGCTGCAGGAGGGAGACGAGTTGCTGGAGTGTCTGTCTCTAACTCCATCTCTCTCCTTCCCCTTCCCCTCTCCGTCATCTTCTCTCTGTCTCTCTTCTCTGTCTCTGTCTCTTTTCTCTTTCTGGATGTCGCTGCTTTTCTGTCTCGCTCTCTTTGTTCCCACAGAAGCAACTGGTTAGTTCCATTCAGTTGGGAAAGTGTACAAATTTTAAGCTTTCTATAAATAAGGTCGGGCTGTAAATATTGATAGATTTCACCTTTTTCAGACTCTCTCTCTTTTTTTTCTTGTTTCTGTCACTATGTTTCGCTGTCTCTGGACTAGGGTGGTGGGCTATTTGAGTTTTTGTGCAGTAAAACCACGTTGTTTTTTCTCATCAAATTCACAGAGTCCATCTTTAGTTGCTTAGTTTTAGTTCTGGAAAATGCTAAAACCATGTTTTATCCATTGCACCATCTTTAACCTGATCATAACGAGCCCATCTCTCTCTCTCTCTCTCTCTCTTTCTCTCTTTTCTCTTTCCTTCCTTCCATCCTTTCTTTCTCTCCCTGCCTTTCTGTCCCTGCACCATTCCTTTCCCCTTCATCTTCTCCCAACTGCCTGCTCCCGACCTCGGACCCGGCCTCGTTTCTGTAGTCTCTGCACTTGTCTCCCGTTAAGGTCCCAGCCTCGGTGGGGCGGAAGCGGGAGCGCAAACAGGTCAGCGACGAAGACACCTCGCTGTCGGAGAGCGATGCCTCCCGAAAGCCTGAAGAGGAAGAGGAGGATGAGACCACAGCCATGAGCATCAACGAAGAAATGCAGAGGATGCTGAACCAGCTGTGAGTGCGGCTGCTCCGCACGTCTGCCGCTGGTGTCGATCCAGGCTCGGGCGCCCGGGATGGGGAGGGCAGGGGTGGGCTGTGGCTCCCCTTCCCTGGGTAGGTGCTGCCACGGGATACCTACGCCCCATGCTCTGCAGCCCCATGCTCTGCAGCCCGGTGGGACTGACTCCCCACCCGTGCCGTGGGCGGGAGCTGGTCCAGCTCCCCTCCTCTCCACCCCTTCCCTCTTTTCGGGAGCCACTGTCAATTTTCTGGGACTGCTGACTGTAAATCCAGCCTCCTCCCCAGGAGCTCTTGGGTTTGGGCACGCCTGAGGTCATCCCAGACGGACCTGTGAGCGAGGCTTTCGGCACCGCCACAGCCCCCTGCCTGCCCGGTGCTGATGTGCTGTTTCCCTGCCCCCAGGAGGGAGTATGACTTCGAGGATGACTGTGACAGCCTCACGTGGGAGGAGACGGAAGAAACGCTGCTCCTCTGGGAGGACTTCTCCGGATACGCCATTGCAGCCGCAGAGGTGCAGGGGGAGGTAACGGTGGTGTCAGGTCCCCGCGGGGATCCAGCCCTGGGTTAGGACACATGGTCCTGCCTGAGCCTGGGAAGGTGCTTCCTCAAAGACCAGCCCCTCCAGCCCTTGCAGGCCTGTACAGGTGCTTCCCCACCACATCCCATCTCCTCTACATGAATACATCACTGCATCCTTACGCCGGTCTCCTTGTTACCCAGTCCAGGGACCCCTAGCCTGAGAGATGTGCTGGGCACGTGCAGGGAAAGCTGGAGGCCGCCTCTCGCTGGGCTGGGCTCTGGTGGTCCCTTGCTCAGGCTCTCCAGCCCACCGACCCCCGCTGTGCAGCAGCACTGCCTGGGTGGAGGCTTCGGTGTCTGGTCACAGCCCTCGCCATCTCAGCGGTCCCCTGGGGATATGTCGCACTTGGGAACAGGCTGGGCTCTCCGGAGCTTCTTGCTGGGCTAGCTGGGGGCTGATGTGCTCGCTGCCTGGTGTGGGGAGCCCTGGGTCTCTATCGTGTTGGCAGGATAGACTCATGTGCCTTGTTGATAACTACATCGCTTGTGCTTCTTCCTCTTCTCCCAGTGCTGCCAGTTCTTTCTCTGACTTCTCTTTCTCTCTTGCCTTCGGTTCCTCACATTGGTTGCCTCCCTGCCTCTAAACATGCTGCCGTCTGCTCTCCCCAGCAGCAGGATGACAGCCTGGAGAAGGTGATCAAGGACACAGAGTCGCTGTTCAAGAGCCGTGAGAAGGAGTACCAGGAAACCATTGACCAAATAGAGGTGGGAGGAGGAGGAGGAAGTGGGGAGGACGTGGCACGGAAGGGGAGTGGGTTCCTTGGGGAGGGAGACACTGTGCTGGAGCAGCTAATGGGGGGCAGCAGCCTCGGGTC